AATGGTAATAATAAACGATCATCGTATTGCGATAATCATACGAAATGGGGGGATTGGGATAAATAATAGTATAATTCATGTAAAGATTATGGAATTAGAGAATTTAGTGTTACTACGGTAACAGTATAAGATTAGCTATTTGGATGGGTTATCAAATGTTCACTTGTAAAATTAACTCACCTATGAAGATAGAAATGTAATGCGAAAAAGTCAGTTCAGAGTATTCCCTGATTTTGTAGATAATCACAAATCGTGGAAGTACTTCGGCAATTGTGAAAACGAGGAAAATTGATTTGTTCACTTCAGTGTTTTATGAAATGCCTACAGGTACCAGCATATCAAATGAAACAATGAGTAATATAAACAACGCAAGAAATATCGAAAAATTCAAATACCCACTTGAACATAAAAATAATAAATTAAATACAAACTAGCCCCGAAAGCATAACTGTTTAGAGACTACATAAAGCTCCAATAATTTATTTTCCATTTGGGGACCTCCATTGGGAACACTATAGATTCACAATTTGTGTATTGTTGTATATTATTTTCAGGAACCGCGGAGTTGCGCTGAGAAATTACTCGGATGATTACTAAGCATTGGGATTTTATCACAATCATTTAATGTAGTTTGCGCTATTTATAAGTTTGTTTGTTAACTTAATTCACAAAAACAAAAATGCTGTCTTACATAAGCATTCACAACGAAACGTTGATTAATAAAATGAAACAATTATTTTTTGCAGTCCATGCAAAAGCACACTATGAAGAAACAGCCTCTTACAATTACAATTTACTATAGAAACACTATAACCAATAGATACACTGTACATGTATTTCTACGTTCACGTTCTATAACGGAATGCATGTTCAATTTTTAGTCAATTACAGCACGCTTAATTTGGCAATTAATTAATGATCATACAATACGTATACGCATGTATGAAGTACAAAAAGTCAATTAAGGAATAATAACAATGACATAAAAACATTAATACGTACTAACAATAAAAGTGAAAGAATGTACGTACATGTTAACGTTAAACATATTCGATATCGTAACGGGAAAGTTTTTACATGTACGTACGTATCGGTATGTACATGGAGTATGAGAGTTTATGAACATACAATACCAGATACAGAAGCTCTATCAATCAATAAAAAGGCATCAGTGATCAGCGTTTGTGATATTCTTTGTGCTCGGAAAATTTCAAGCATTACACATAATTTTCGGAAAGTTATCAGAGGTCCGTTACTCATGACGAGGTCTTTATATATGCATGTTCTACGATTTCAATAGTTAGACCGTTCGGTCAATAATTGCGAAGCATCGATTCTTATTCATAAGACAGTCTATTTTTCGCATAGTGTTGTGGATATGGGGTGATGTGTGTTGATAGCTCTTGCTTTTCGGGTGAATTTTGGCTAGCCATTCTATAGCAGAATCCGAGAATTTGGCTGAATCTTCTGGATTCCATTCTTCGAACTTGTGGGTCTCTTAACTTCGAGAATTTAAGTATATAAATCGCCTGGTAAGAAATGCTTTGGTTCACCGTACCTAGTAATATTTTTCTGTCATATTAATGCATTGATTCACTAAAATTCGCATTGAATTTTCTAAGAAAATTATCTCAGTCATGGGATACAGTAGATCCTAGCGTATTTCAAATTCCCGTTCAAATACCAAAGCTGAATCCATGCCACGAATGTGAAAGAGACATTCTCGAAATCCTACTTCAAGCATTCACTATACTCAGTTTTGGCTATATTCGCCATCGAATATGTATCCAGAAATATATCGTGTGGACAGAGACAAAATGTCCTGCATGCCCCCGTTCTCATCGAAACTATTAGAAATGAAGTCGAAAGATAGAGGTCAGCATTCGCTAGTACCTCCAGTAATAATAATCTGCTCAACAAAGCTCAAGCACAAAAGACAAAGAAATCTACCAACCATGATCGAAGTCCAGCAAACGAAGAGAACATCTTAGAATTATCTACGCTTCTCGACAAAAAGTCTTGCCGTCTATATCAAAAGCAAATAGGCAGAAAAACGCGTACCAAACAAACTAAATCAACATTTGGAGTGTATGTAATGATTGAATATTTGCTAACGCTTCAAGGATATTATCGCCCAAGCATTCCAGTGCTCCTGCGAATGACATCTCAATACTAATCAAGTATTACAATTTGCCAGACATCCCGAAGTAAGTTGTACTTTGGTCTTAAATCTCGGTGGATGATTTTGAATTTTTTGTGGACTATTTCATGAGTCTTTATAATCGACTTGAGATCACAATTTTCCAAATTACGAACTTTAATGCATACTGGAGAAATAGCAAAGTTTTATTATATAAAAGGAGCTTCGGAAGATGTGGCGATTGAATACTTGCTAAACTTTGTAGCACTTGTATTTCCCTTGCAAAACTCTCGTGATAATCATCGCTCTTCATAACTTTTACGGCTGCCTCAACATCTGGTGTTTGCCTTTGAATACGATACTAGTCCAATTAACTGCTTCAACTCCACAATCTTATCACCATAAGTGAGGTTTGGTTCGATCCACCCTAGAGCGTTCAACGATTGATACAAAAGAGTGAAAATATATTTCCAACTAATAGAGGATCCGTCCCATCATATTGTAATTTTTCCATTGTTGTAAAATCGTAAGAGAAACGACTATTTTCTTTCTTAGTCACTTTATATATAACAATCACATAGCAATCGGTTAAAATTAAATAAATAAAAGCCCGTCGTGGTTGAAGCTGAAGTACTTTTTCAGCAGCAAAGGAGATGCAATGTCCAATGTCCAATGTCCACTTTTTTAAATTGATTTCCAGTACGTTCTCTTGTCTCCCCAATAATCGCGACGTTCAAGAGATCCAAGGAATGATCATGATGAAGTCAGGTTTCCTTGTATCTAAGAATGGATTTTTGCTAGTATCGTAGACAACGAATTGCTTTCTTTTCAAAGCGGAGCACTCTTGGATAAAGTACTCTTGAAAATTCTCCTCTCCTTTGTTTGGTGGTGATGCACGAAACTTGCTGGCTTTCTTTGTTTTATGCGCATGCTTGTTTAGGTTAAATGGAACGCCACCTCTGCCAATTTGCATAACACGAATACCTTTATCCCACCCTGTATAAGTATCTAAACCAAAATAGAATGAAAACTTGATGATCAATTCAAGTAATGTGCGCAGATTTCAAATGTCATTAGAAAGCATGCCTGGACAACTGAACCATTCCTCAGAGTACGTACGAATTTTTTGATGTCTCAGTTCAATCGGTCATCTTAGTATTAAGTTGGCCGAGACAAATTTACCAGGACGACCCCAAAAGTTCGGGCCACGTGATAATTTATTTTTAAAAAAAGCTGCATCTCAAAATCTAAGTCTATGAAACTATCTTTTGTGTTCTAATAAAAAAATGTTCCTTGCGAAATTTTACTATAAATACATTTTTTGTTTGCCAAATAACCTTTACCCAGATCCAAACCCTAACCCTTTTCGTATCATTGACGTCATCAAAGAATTATCAAGTGGCCCGAAATTTTGGTGGTCGCCCTGGCAGATTCGGTCGAGACCCCTGTTCGTTGAAGTATCATCTAAACACAAATGCATACATGATGAAAGAATAAAAGTGCAATTTATCAACGTCGCAAATATAGCTTTCCTTTCATTAGATATTACAACTCACTTTGATTAATTGACAGCGATAGACATTTAAACAATTCTGTTTTTTGTTTCCTATTCTTCGAGTCGCATCTAATCCTAATAATCTTGGATGATTAAACTCAAGTTTTTTATATTCATTTACCTTGCTTTTGACTTAGTTTATCCTTTGTTCAACTTCTTCTATATTCATGATGAAAAAAAGAGCTTGCTACACATCATGTGGTTACGGTTATCGATATCGATATTGCGAGATGTTCAAGTATTAATGCGAGGATAATTATGAATGTATGTAATTCGCGTTTCACCTAAGAGCAAATATAAATGACTCGATTTCATATCGTAAGCGAAATAACTTTAAAATGCATATAAATATGTTGTCATATTCAAGTTAGTATCCTGAGAAAAATAATATCTATATAATAAAGTTCACTTAACTAAGGGTCCCGTTCTAACGAAAAACTTCGTAAATGTGAATATTTCGTTAAAGTGACCTCTTTACAGTAAAGGGAGTTTTTTTGTATAGAGATTTCGTTAAGGCAACTCCACTGTGTATATAAGCAAGAAATAAATATATCTACGGTTTTAATTAGAAAATTAACAACTAACCACTTTTCTCATTTACTCATCTAATAAGTTAGCTTTTATAACAATATTAAAATCTAATTTATTTCAAGATAAGACAGTTATATACGTGTATGTATTTAGATTAGAGATTGTATTAAAATTCAAGATTTTTTGAATACTAATTTTTCATCTAATAAAAATTAAACTTAAGCCAAAAGAGAAAATAAAGGTCATTGTTATCCTTTCAAAAATCGCATCAATGAGCAGAATTGAATTAGCACTTGAAAAAATCCCATCACTAGGTTGTACCAAAACAACGGTTGTCGCAATAACTAATACTTCAGATGAAGGCACAACAGTCGTAATTACTTCTACGGAAGAATTATCCAAAGTGATAGTATATAATTTAGTGACAGAAGTTCCCCGAGTTGTTGTATAAGTTGTTAGAATGGTGGTGGTGTGTGATCTAGTAGGACTTGTTTGCTGCGAAGTAGACAAATTATTCTTAGTAATTGTTTGTGTCGGCATTTCATTTTGCGGTTTGGTCTGAGAATTTGATTCATTATTTTTACTCTCAGTCCTAATAGTTTGCTGAACGGATTGATAAGTAGCTGTAATTGTATTTTTAACACTTACTGGATTTGCCGGTGGTGGTGGTTTTGCTGATGTTGTTGGCGACGGTGGTGGTGGTGGTTTTACCGATGTTGTTGGTGGTGGCGCCGAAGTTGTTGGCGGTGGTGGTTTTACCGATGTTGTTGGCGGTGGTGGTGCCGAAGTTGTTGACGGCGGTGGTGGTGGTTTTACTGATGTTGTTGGTGGTGGTGGTGTCGAAGTTATTGGTGGTGGTGATGATGGTGGTTTTACCGAAGTTGCTGGTGGTGGTGATGATGGTGGTGATGATGGTGGTGGTGGTGATAGTGGTGGTGATGGTGGTTTTACCGAAGTTACTGGTGATGGTGGTGCTATCGATGATACTGGTGATGATGATGGTGGTGGTGATGGTGGTTTTACCGAAGTTGCTGGTGATGGTGCTACAGATGATACTGGTGATGATGGTGGTGGTGGCGATGGTGGTTTTACCGAAGTTGCTGGTGATGATGCTACAGATGATACTGGTGATGATGGTGATGGTGGCGATGGTGGTTTTACCGAAGTTGCTGGTGATGATGCTACAGATGATACTGGTGATGATGGTGGTGGTGACGATGGTGGTTTTACCGAAGTTGCTGTTGGTGGTGATGGTAGTGGTGGTGGTGATGATGGTGGTGATGGTGATAGTGGTTTTACCGAAGTTGCTGTTGGTGATGGTGATGGTGGTGGTGGTGATGATGGTGGTGATGGTGATGGTGGTGATGGTGATGTTGATAGTGGTTTTACCGAAGTTGCTGTTGGTGGTGATGGTGGTGGTGGTGATGATGGTGGTGATGGTGATGGTGATGGTGATGGTGATGGTGGTGGTGATGGTGATGGTGATGGTGATAGTGGTTTTACCGAAGTTGCTGTTGGTGGTGATGGTGGTGGTGGTGATGATGGTGGTGATGGTGATAGTGGTTTTACCGAAGTTGCTGTTGGTGGTGGTGATGGTGGTGGTGGTGGTGCTGCTGCTGCTGATAATACTGGTGCTGATGTTACTGCTGGTTTTGCTGACGGTGGTATATTAACCTGTGCGCTGCTACTAAAACATTATGATCAATTAAAATTAAAAAAATTATAAGTTTTAACGAGTATATTTTTAGTCATACATACGATTGTTGAGCTAAAACATTAACAGTACATATTAACGTTAACAAAAATATTAGTTTGAGATTATCCATTTGAAATTTCTATATCTTTTAGTCAGATTGTTTTTTTTTAATTTTGTAGTACATGTATTTATATCACAGTATATCGATATGCTCTCCAGAGATCAGTGCTTGTTATGTATATGTTAATGACGATAAACTTAGAAATTTTTTAAATAACGATAGAAAAAAAACTGCAATACGTAGTTTATTTTGAGTTATAGAAAATTTTTGGTGAAACAATATTTAAGCCAAAATAATATTCATAATGAAGAATGGGCGTTTACCAAGGTGTGTGTGGTGTAACATGATGTTTTCCATTTTCTTGATGTAATTGCTGTAATTGTGACGGATTAAAATGAAATCTGGTCCTTTTTGAGGATGAAAAAGTATTAGAGTATATGGTATCATATTGACCTCTCCATCCATTTTGTCTTTAATCTGCCACAATAATTAAAGGTATTGTATTGATTCAATCTTGCATCATTTGTTTAAAAGTTTTTATTCTTGACTTTAAATTAATTATTCACATACTCATTTAACATGCCGATTAAAAAGAATTTCCACTTATTTACTGACGTTAAGAGTCAAAGCAAAAATGATCTGTTGGGCTGAATGTTGGAAACCGACAAATTAGAAATATCGAGAAAGCCGATATTTGTGTCTTTTGATGTTGGAAAAAGGAATATCATATAACCAATTAATACATAACGATAGATTGTGTTTTATGAATCAATAAACTGCTTGATAAAGTACGTACAGTGATAATCAAAAGAATTGCAACAGTATCAATAAACGTTTTACTAATAAATTAGTAAATTTTGATACTGTTACATTTCTTTTGATTTCCAATGTAAAGCAGGTTTTTCTCTATTAATAAATATTTTTTATTAGTAAATCTTTGGGTTATACAGTGCTTGGCAGAAGTAACCTACCTCCATAACTTTTCGTAAATCATGTGTAATGCACCAAGCACAAAGAACATTTCAAATGCTGATCATTGATACTTTTTATAGATTAGTTAGCGTTTCTATGTCGGGTATTGTATACTTGCATGCCCCAAATACAATAAATCGGTCACTTTAGCACATAATATCTCGACGTCTTGTTATCCAATTTGAGCGAGAATACTACCATTCGATTTTTCTGATCTAGGCAAATCAAATGGTGGTATTTTTGCTCATGTCGGATCACTAGATGTCGAAATATTATGTCCAAAATGATGGATTCATATTTACAAAAAAAATGAATCTCAATCTCCAGTGATCCAATTCAAACAAAATAATACCATTCGATTTGTCTAATCAAGATGAAAACGGTCTTATTTTTTGTTTCCGTCCTAAATTGGCTGATTCATTTTTGTTAATGTCAAAAAAAAAGGATCTACTACTTTAAGACGTAATATTTAACGTCCAGTGATCCTATTTGAACAAAAATACTACCATTCGATTCATCTCGACTAGGCGAATCGAATGGCAGTATTTTTGTTCAAATCGGATCACTGGACGTCAAGAATTAGATTATTGATATTGAGATGTGTTATGAAATAACTGAGACGTGAAAGTTTATACCTGACATAGAAGCTTTATCAATCTATAAAAGGTATCAATGATCAGCTTTTGTAATGTTCTTTGTGTTCGGAAAATTTTGGACATTACACATGATCTACGGAAAGTTATAGAGGTAGGTTACTTCTGACGAGCACTTGTATTACAAATATCTGAGTTTAAAGATACACTTGATCGTGACTGTCAAATGTCCTTCAAACGCAGATCCAAAAATATTATTAACGTTAAGGGTTAATTTACATGTCGCCCTATAAGTAATTTGCACGTGATATGTTTGTAAAGACATATAAATACGTGACTCGCGTATGTAAAAGGTTGTAAAATCTATTTGTTCTATATTTACGTGTTTATATTTCTGTAAACACACGTAAAACGTGACCTTTTACGTGTCTTTTACAGACATGTCAGACTTTCCATATTTTTTTACAGATATATATTGAAATTTACAGGCGTATTTTTCTTGTAGAACTTATACTCAATAAATTTCTTTACGTTAACATTCTAACAAGCCTTTGTTGCGCTTAATTTTTGATCCTTTAATAATATCTTTAATTATGTCTTTTTCGTGATAAATCAATTAGAGAAAAATGCTTGTATTTATATTTGCGTTAGCTTTATGTATTGTTACAAATTCATTTTCATCAAAATTGTCATCTCTCTGACATTATTATTGTTGCCAATGCCACTGCAGCTGTCAATATCAATACTGTATACCGATACGTATTTGTAAATATTAATATTTCTACAGCATTAGCATTTGCCATTGCCACGATCTGGAACATTAATATACATGTATCAATTATTTCTTACATTGGATGTCATCATAACTTCTAAAAAAATAATTTCTTAATGAATTGTATCCACATAACAACAAACAACAATTTGATGGCAGTTAGAATCTATTTTGTCTCTATTTTTATTAATGATCGTTTTATTTGAATATTACTACAAGTTTTTCAGTACAATATATAAATATATGATATACTTACTATTCATAGCATGAATTATACTCTAGTTTTCTGGCAAATTTTGTGAGATTCCGGGAAAATTTTTCTTGTCAAAATTTGTTCCGTCTCAAGAGTTCCGGCAGATTTAAATGCTACTGAAAAATCCGACAAAACTATGCTTCAAAATCATGCCCTGATTAATGATACTTGAAGATGACGAAACCTTTCGTCACGACAATTTTGAAAATGTCTGTGAATCCCAGCCACGGCGAAAAAAAGTATAGGTCACGTGATGAATACCAGGGCCATTGAAATATCCGATTTATATTAAAGGTCAAGTATTAGGGTTTTAATAGTGCTTCAAGATAAAATTAGATCCGTTTCTGTATTTGTTTGCCGGGTTTGATCAAAATTTGCTGCATTTCTATTGGTTGTACATATCTGCACATTCTTATTTGTCGGATATGATTATTATCACGTGACTGAAACTTTTAGCCACGGCAAAACGGGAAGTCTACGGACAGTGCATAGGGACAGTGCAAAATCATGTGATCTTTCCGGCCAAGTGCCGGACAGTGC